TTGGCTGAGGAAAGGATCATCATGGAGTATAAAAAGAAATTTCAGTTGCTATCTGACCGTTTGAGAGGGATATCGAAAGAAGTGTTAGAAAACAACTTCATGAATGGGTTGAAGACAGATATTCGAGTAGTACTTCATCTGTTGAGATCACGAGGAATGGGGGAAACTATGAATTAGCGCAGTTGGTTGAAGATAAAAATGCGATGGAACAGGAGAATTGGAGCAGTGCTGGTGGAACGTCATGCTCAATTGCCATAATCATGATGATACCAAAAGCTCAAATAGTAGAAGTCCGAAGGGAGACTCCATGGGGCAGGAATAAAGGGCCACGATCGGGAGCGACACTCAAGAGCCTTATAAAGATAGAGATTTAGGAGAGCGAGCCAATGGATTATGTTTTCAATGTGATGAGAAGTTTGTCCTAGGATACTGTTGCAATGATCTAACATTACAGGTTCTCACAGTGTGCGACAAGGAGGTAGGGGATAAAGAAATAGAGAAGATTGTTATGGAGGAGGAACACCCTCACGTTTTTCAACCTTGAGAACAATGTCTTCTTTTTAGGAGGGGAGTATTGTTATGCCGGTACCTAAGGACAATTTAGTCTTTTCTTATTTGATATTGTTTCATATAAATATGAATAATATATTTAGGTTTAGGGTTAGGCATGAGATTTTTATCTTGAGTCTTAGGGTTAGGGTTTGGGAGAGATTTCCTGCCTCTCGAATTGTAGGATTTGGGAGAGATCGTCTACCTCTTGAATTGTAGGTTCTTATTTTTTATGTATTTGTGTGATTTGTTTCGTGTTGTGTTGCTTTGATTTGAGATTAGTGAGATAAAATATTTTGTGCCCTAATTTCTGTGGAAAGTCGGCCTAGTTCTTATCACAACTTTTGAAACTTTTTTTTTTGTGTTTTAGTTTCAAATGGGCAGATCTGAGGATTTGACACTAAACTTATTTGCTCAAATTGAGCTCAATCTGAAGAGCTCACAAATGATCCACGTAACTAAACTTAGTTGAGCTAGTTTTGGTCGAATCAGACTAGCTCAAGTTCAAATCAAACGTTATGCATATGTTTTCCTATATTTACATATGCAAGTAATTGAGAATTCATGCATAGTTATGCTTTATTGAGTCCATTTATGCATATGCATGTATGCATGGTGTACTAAGAATTCATCTTAGATGATCTTAAAATAGATAGAAATTGAATTGAATTTGGTTGTAGTAAGCGGTGGCACAAGCGGAGGTCGGATCAAGCCAACCTAAAGATGTAACAACCAGTGGTCCCTGTAGTTCCCAGTGCAGCCTCCACCTACATCACTTCCCTATAACTAACTTAGTGGTTCTCTACTCTAGAGTCTTCTACTACTGCCCTTATATACTCTACCAATGTATATGTAATTGTGATAGAGAATTGTATGATATTCTGCAGCACTTTCATTTCTTATTAGTTGTCATGGTATTGGGGTTATAACCTACAGGTTTCAGGTTCTTTTTCCTCCTGCTCTCTTGTTCTTTTTTCTATCGACTATGTCATCTTCTTGTACCAGTAGAACTACATTCTCCTAAGTCTCCAAAGTATCAGGGTCTCTATTCCTCCAGTTCTCAAGCTCCTCATCTCCAACATCAAATCCATCGCCAATGCCCGATTGACTGCAAAAAAAATTTCCTGCATGAAATCACAGATTTTAAAATTATTCAGAGCTAACAGATTTGAAGCCTTTCTAGATGGCGTCTCTGTCTGTCCACCTGCTCAAACTCAAGATCCGGAAGGCAACCAACTCCAAATCTTCAATATGAACTATACCAGCTCATCAATCAAAATCTATCAGCTGCAATGTACTCCAACATCTCACCCTCCTCTTCCGTACATCCTCAATTTACAATCCACATCTGAAATATGGGAATCCCTAGCCAAGAGACTTCAATCTATAACCGACCGAAGGTTATCTAGCTGATAAATGAACTACCACCACATCTGTATGAAGAACTCTTCTATGTACCAATATCTACTTGAGGTGAAAGCCCTGGCGGATAACATAATGGCTGCAGGTGGTAGTATCGACAATGAGAATATAATCTTATATATTCTCAATGAACTTCCTCCCTTTTACCAATCATTCAAAACAACCATCAGAACAAGGCCAAACCCCATCAAATTTGGTGACCTATATGCTCTTCTTTGCAGCGAGGAGGTGAACATCTATACTGAAACCGCAAAGGATAACTCAACTGCTGCAGCTATGGTCCTCTACTTTTCTCCCAGAGGTTGCGCAACTCCTCAAGAGGTGGTGGATGGTTCAATTCATCGTCATCTAGAAGAGGAGGAACTTCTTCCACTAATGGCAGGGGAGGTTGCTCACACAAACCACTGCCAACTTGCCAAATCTGCAGTAAATTTAAACATACAGCTCTCATTTGCTGGCGCAGAGCGAATTTCGAGTCCTATCCACTAAGATAGATTCAGGACTTGTGGCAACTCAAACATTCAAACCCAACTGATGGATACTAGACATATGCGCTTCTTCTCATCTCACTTCAAACTGCAACTGCCTACATCAGCCAACCCCTTACAAAGGACATGAACAAACTGTTTTGGGAGATGGCACTACCATTCTCATCATTCACTCTGGTCAAGGTTTCCTACCTGCACCTCGCAGTAAACTTCTTCTACCTCATCTCCTCCACTCTTCTCACTTGTCTGACAATCTATTATCGTTTCACAAACTCACTGTTGATAATAGCAGCAAAATCTCATTTACTAAATCTGGTTATGTTATCCTTGATCGGGGACTCAGCCATGGCATCTATCCAGTCTTTGCTCTTTCCGCTCTCCACACAACTACCTCTTCGCCCCAACTGTGGCACCAACAGCTTGGGCATCCACACAAACAAATGATAGCTGCTATCTACAGCTCATGTCAAGAACTCCACATCCATACATCTACTATTACTTGTAATGATTTTAATTCAGCTAAAAGCCACAAACAACCATTTCCTAAGTTAAGTTCTAGGTTTAGTTTTCCATTTAATATAGTTGACTCTGATGTATGAGATTCTGCCCCCATTCTATCTCTACAAGGACTAAATATTATTTATTTTTCTTTGATGATTTCTCCCGCTATTGTTGGATTTTTCCACCGTATGCTAAATCTGAAACTGCATCAAAGTTTATATTATTTCAGAAAATGGTCCATACTCAATTTCGAACAAACATTAAAATCCCAGGATCAGATTTCGGTGAAGAATACACTTTTCATTCTCTTCAACAATATCTCTCCACCGATGGCATTATCCACTAACTAAGCTATCCATACACTCAACAAAATGAGGTGACTGAAAGGAAGCATCGAAACTTTATTGAAACAACTTGAACTCTTCTCCTTACAACCTATCTAGTAACGTTTTTTTTTTAACAGATACTCTCCTCACAACAACCTACCTAACAACAGGATACCTAGCAGAACTCTCCTAACGAAAACTCTCTATAAGATGCTTTATAATAGTCCTCCCACCTACAACCACCTTAAAGTTTTCAGCTGCTACTATTTTCCCTGGCAAAACCGATAGCTCCACATAAACTTCATCCTACCGCTCCACCCTATATACTCATTGGTTACTCTTCACTCCTCAAAGGTTATAAATGCTATCACTTAGCATCCCACAAAACCATCATCGCACGGCGTGTAACCTTAAACAAAAACCGACAGTACCATAAAACTACATGTTTTCTCACATAAAAAACTGGGGCTTCTAACTCAGCACCGCTGATCTCTCGCTACTCTTATCTTCAACAAAAATCAGATTCAACTCTACATCTTAATTTATGTAGATGATACCTTATTAACAGATAATGATTCCTCAACTATCTTCCATCTATTGCAGGATCTGAAATCAATTTTTTATTTCAAGGAGTTGGGTCAAGTTTCCACTTTTCTCGGCTTATAAATTTAGAAGAAAGACCAGAGCTACTTTCTCTTCTAAGCTAGATGCATTAACACCATTTTACAACAAAAACGCCTCACAAATTGCGAACACTCCCTCATCCCTCTCCCCGCTAAACTGAAGCCTGAACCGACCACAGAACAACCCTATCCTAATCCCACTTAATATCATCAAATTGCTGGAGCATTCCAATTCCTCACCATAACCCATCCTGAAATTGCCTTTGTTGTGAATACCATCTGTCAACATATGCACTAACCCTTACTCCATACTTGTCATATTGTCAAATGCCTCCTTCGACACTTTTCGGGAACAGAAAACCATTGCCCGATCATCCATGGAGGCGAAATACTGTCCACTAGCTACAACCACTAAGACGTTATTTGCTTATGTTTTCTCAGTCAGGAATTCAGCATACATGATCCCTCGTCTACTGTAATTCATTGTGACAACACATGACACTTGTCATTGCTGTCAACCCTATCTTTCACACAAGGACCAAACACATTGAAATAAACCATCATTTCATAAGAGATCACATTACCTCACAAGACATCAAAACATCAAATTACCTCCCAGGATCAGACCGCCGACATCCTCACCAAGTGTTTACCTACTGCTCAGTTTCTTCATTTATGGGACAGGTTCACGATCCTTCCACCCGATTGTTCACTTGAGGGGAGCTAACAGCTAGTGTTCGTTGTGGTTCCCAGTGCTGCCTCCACCCATAGCATTTCTCTGAATTCATGGCTAACTTAGTGATCCTCTACTCTAGAGTTTTCTCCTACTGCCCTTATATACTCTACCACAGTGTACGTTATTGTGATAAAGAATAGTATGGTATTCTGCAGTATTTTCTTTTCTTATTAGTTACCAAGATGGTTCCGACTAGACTTGGAATAGGACGTAAATCCCATGTAAGCATGGCTTAATCGGCTCAAGAGGATAACAGCTGTAGTTGTTGGATAAACCACTTTGGTGTTGTTCCAGAAAAATGGCTACTTGCTGAAAATTTCTTCTACTTAACTGGTGACAATTTAGTACTTATCAGGAGAATACTTTTTTGGAAGCATGTATTGAGAATCACACAAAGTCAGACCTTTATATGGATCAAGTTGAGTTCGAGCCAGCACCACATTGGAACGCATCAATTTTGAAAGCTGAAGATTGCATCCCTGACAACAATGCCCAAGCAAGGTAGCAAACAAAAGATTTATTTTATTGTTTTCTAGTACCCTACCTCAGCTATATCCAAACTGTTGTTTTTTTCAATAATTGAACTCCATATGATTGAATTGTTAACTATTTTATTTATCTTGGCATTATTTGGGCAGCAAGGTATTCAAGTTGCCTCTTCTTATAAGAGCTGGAGGAGGAATTTTTAATTATCTCTATCAGTTAAAACATTCGTCACTGGATAGTGGACAAGGTAAGGTTCCTGGAAGTAATATTCTTGGTAAACTTCAGATCTCTTGGCGCACAAATTTGGGAGAACCAGGACGCTTGCAGACACAGCAAATTATTGGCACTGTAAGTAGATAGGATTTCTTGGTCTTATGATCTATGATACTCCAATAAGGAACATAATAGTATTTATTTGTTTTTTCAAAGGTGAAATTAGCAGTTAGTTCCTGAATTTTATGGGTCTGTTTTGGTTAATCCACTATATGATTTGGATCATATGTCATAAATCTTGGTCCGTGCTGATGTTTCTGAAAATTTGAGTGGAAATACGAAGGTCTTGGTAATGGTGCTGAGGTTTTGATGGTCTTTAATGAGTCTAGAACAAGTTTAGTTGACATGTGTTGACCTCTGTACCTATTCTATTTGTTGAGTAAATCGGGTATGATGAAAACAATAGATGATGGATGCAATATCATGTAGGACTAGTTCAAAATGCATTGACTATAATAAAAATAGCTCAGCACCGTTTGTTTTTCGAACAAACTGAACCTACCCGAGATTGATCCCTATCATTGCTGCATAAGAAAAGAAATGTAAAATTTTTTCAAAAAAGAATTGATGACAATGAATTTTGAATCACGATAATTATTATTATCATTTAATTACATATATATAATATTTTTAACTAGAAAATTTTTTGATTAAATAAAAAATTGTATAATAAATAAAATTAATTAAAGTTAAAATTACTAATATAATGATTATTATATATATTAATTAAGTATTCAAAAATAATAAAAATTACTATTTTTTTTAGAGAAAAATTTACAGACACACA